TCATGCTTGTTTTCATTGTGGAATTTCTCATCTTAAAGTTGATAATATCCAATTAAATAAATGTAAAATAACTAAAATAAAGCAAAATAAAAACCAAATGTTTCCACTATGGCAAAGTGACTTTGCACCTTTCTCACTCCTCAACAGACGGTGGCAGTAGCACACTTCCATTACAACTAGAAAAAAACATTACGAACCCCAGAAACACAAATGTCTAATGTATACTGTACACATGCATAGATATATATGGGCTGATCGTGGATATATTTTGTATTCCTGCGTTCGTATCTTCACTAACCTTTAATCTGATTCAAAAAGTGTTTTAAAAATGTAATGTATCGACTTATTTCATAGTTGGTGATTGTGTAACTGCACGCTTTTTGTAAACAAGCAAGCAGTTGTTACGTATTGCTTGGAAGGAAGCGATGTTTCATTTATTATGCCAAAAATCTATGTATAGAGCAGCTATTAAATACAAACATGTTGCCCAAAAGGAAACACTTCTGAAACAAAACCCAATGCATGGGACATGGAGGAGGTCTTTCAACGCTGATCATGTAATGTATAATCAATATTATTATCACATTAAACCCCCTAGAGTGTAAAACTTTTAGTAAAACTAAAACTAGTCCAGACATGACATTTACAATTCACATGAGAGCAGTGAACTGCTGTCGCTTATTTGCATCTGTTTTTTTCTTCTTCACAGACTTGCCTTGAATCAAGAGCACTACCTATAGTTCATCATGTCAAGTACATATGTGCCCTCCCTGAAAACCACAGGTTTCCCATGGGAAAGTTCCCCAAAGTCCTGGAGAGTCTGCTTAGAGATCAGGTCATAACAGATAAACAGGTTGGACATGATTAGTGAATCTGCAACTTATATTAACACACACACATATTTAACAAAGCCTTAATATACTTTAAATGTCACTGTGTTATAGGTGTGGGCCCCTAAGATTGCCTCCACGGACCTTCTGGGATGTGTGCATACTGAGGAGTACCTGTCCAACTTTATCAGTGGTGAAATAAGTGAGAAAGATCAGAGACGAACCGGATTCCCATGGAGTTCTGGTTTAGTCCAACGCTGCAGATATGAAACAGGTATGTTATTTAGTATGTGCCTAACGTCAAAGATGTGGAGTGAATCATCTGGGACATATTTTACTCTAAAAACAAAATAAAAATAACTAATTTGGGTTACTTTATATAGGGTTGTTTTAGTATTATTTATGTGCTTTTATAGAATAGATTAAGCTTAATATTTTAAATTAGCTTAATATCTAATAAAAAAAAATTATTATTATTTTAATTTAATTTGAGTTCTTTATTATTTATTGCTATGTTCCTTTGTCATTTTCTCAGGAAGGGGGCCAACACTTTTTCACACCACTATATATATATATAAAACAACACTTTTCTTATTGAAATAAGCATAAATTAAATTATTTACGATAAATATTACCATGAGGTACATTTACAATTTTACTTTTTATTTAAAAAAAAATTGCATTATAGTACAGACCTTATTTGTTATGAAAATAATGTCACAATGGAAAAATACTTTATTTTCTAATGCAAAACATAATTTATTTTTTGTTTGCATATTGCACTGCTGCATAGCTATGGAGGTTTGTAAAACTACAGTATATTGTTCTGTATATTGTATATTGTATTTCTCTCATGTGAGATGTGGTCCAGGCGGCACTGTCCTGGCAGGAGAGATCGCCCTGCAGAGGGGACTGGCGTGCAGTACAGCAGGAGGGACCCATCATGCCTTCCCCAGCTACGGCTCAGGCTTCTGTCTGCTCAATGACCTGGCTGTGGCTGCCAAACACTTGATGGGCGAGTCCACATCCAGGAGGAAGATTCTCATTGTGGATTTGGATGTACATCAGGTACATGACTTCCAACCTTTTACTCTTTGGTTTTATTTTTGAGAAAGAAATATTTAATAATAGTGGATGAAACATTTACATCTGAAACTGAAAAAAATTAAATTTCTGTACTGACCAAAATGCTGTTGTTTTCCTGAATTATGTATTATAAGAATGATATAAATAAAAAAGTTTTCCTTTCCTCTGTTCACTAGGGTGATGGAACAGCATTCATATTTAAGGATGAACCGGATGTTTTCACCTTCTCAGTGCATTGTGGGAAAAACTTTCCTGTGCGAAAGCAGCAGAGTGACCTAGATGTCAGTTTGGAAGATGGCATCGAAGACGAAGAGTATCTTTCCAAAGGTATTTTCATTTCACTTTCACTAATTTTCACAAAAACATATGCAGATCACTTTTGACTTTTAAATAAATGTAAATAATTTCAATAAATCTCTATTAAAAGGAATAGTTCATACAAAATGAAAATTTGCTGTAATTTTACCCTCAGGCCATCCAAGATGCAAATGAGTTTGTTTCTTCATTTGAACAGATTTGGAGAAATTTAGCATTACATCACTTGCTCTGCAGTGAATGGGTGCCGTCAGAATGAGAGTCCAAACAACTGATAAAAGCATCACAGTAATCCACACGACTCCAGTCCATCAATTAATGTCTTCTGAAACGAAAAGCTGTGTGTTTGTAAAACACAAATTCATCATTATGGCATTTTAACTTTAAACACTCTGGCCAAAAATGAGTCCATAATCCATAATAATGCTTCCTTTTGTGAGAGAAAAAAAAAGGAATCCCCTGTTGTCCTCTCACATCAAAATCCACTGACATATTTGTTTAAAACTGTTTTGGGCTGTTTTTGCTTCTAAACGGTGCTTGATCTGTGCATATTTCTCTCCTGATGCAGATCATTTTTTACTGAAAAAGCAATATTATGCATGGAGAACATTTATTGTATTTCATTGTATTGTATTCTAGCCATAAGCAATGGTTTGAAGTTAAAAATGTCTTAATGATGGATTTGTTTCTTACAAACACACACAGCTTTTAATTTAAAAAGGCATTAATTGATAGACTGGAGTCGTGTGGATCATTTTGATGTTTTTATCAGCTGTTTGGACTCTCATTCTGACGGCATCCATTCACTGCAGAGGATCTGATGAATTTCTCCTAATATCTTCTGAAGAAAAACAAACTCGTCTACATCTTGGATGGCCTTTTTAGTTTTGGGGGGAACTATTCCTTTAAATAAACCAGTGTGTGATACTATGGTAAAATGCGTTAAGTAATTTCCTGTGCAGTACAGGAACACCTCCCTTGGTTACTGGAAACATTCCGGCCGGATTTGGTGCTCTATGATTCTGGAGTGGATCCACACTGGGAGGATGAACTTGGAAGACTTCATCTCACAGATGAAGGTGAATCCTTTCACTCTAGTACGCACATATATCATAAAAAAATCAAAGCAGTATTTTATGTAATTGACCCTTCAGTGCATTTACCCGGCTTAGGACTTTACCAGAGGGATCTTTATGTTCTTCAGACAGTCATTAAAAGGGGCATTCCTGTGGCTACTGTCATTGGAGGAGGCTATTCCAGAGATATTGATCGACTGGCGCGCACGCACTCAATAATTCACAGAGCTGCATCAAAGGTGAGGTCACAGAATTCATAATGAAAGTATGTATTTCATGGACCTGTGTGAATTGAACATGGACATTATTGGGTGCTGAAAGTAAAATGCGCACGGCGCTTTTACGCTATTTAAAAGCGAAGTAAAGCAAGGAAAAGAGGGGAAATTCAAACGAACTAAAAACAAACAATTGCTTTACGCCGAATTGCCGCTATTTGAAAGAGAAAGTAAAATGCGCACGCAGCTTTGAAGGAAAGCGAGGAAAAGAGGGAACACCCCCGCCCCCACGGTGATACCGGTATTACCGGTGTTGTCACATGTCGATTAACCAGTGGGAAAATTTCCTCACCGTCACAACCCTAATATATATATATATATATTTATTTGTCAGAAAGACACATTCTATGCTGCTGTTTTTACATGTTGATGTTATTAAGAAGCAGATTTTGCTTTCATAGTACTGCTAAGCTTTCTGTCCTCTTTATCACAAATGTAAACAGCAGTATTGCACTTTCAAAGGTTTATATGATTTTAATGGTTCCCATCTCTGCATTTAGGTTTGGAGAGAACATGGACTTTAACTCCGAGATGAAAATGGACAGCAGTTGCTATACAATCTAAGATTGGTGGGTGCTGAGAGGGACCATATGAACGTTCCGCAGTGCCGTAGCCATTGTATGCAATAGATTTTATTAATAAAAATGCCGTATTTATTCAAGCCTTTCCTTCAAGATCCTTTCAATTCTTACTCTTTTAATAATGTTTTTTTTTTCATTATTATTATTTATAAATGGTTGGGTTTTACAAAGAAAAATAACTTGCTTGCCTCTTAAAATGACAGTGTCGCTCACTGTTATTAATAGTAGTAGTATTCTAAATTAATATTTAATTAAAATCTTCATTAAAAAAAATACATGAATTTGAGCCCAGTAGATCAGATAAAACTCTTTGCTTTTATTATACTATTTATTAATGATAAAAAATAATTTAAATCATTCTTAATAATGCAGTTTTATTATAAACTGTTGTACAAAGCACAGAATTAATTACTGGTCTGGAATTAATTCTATACCTTTAATTAATTACAGATTAAAAATGAATTTGAGCCGGCGTTCAAATAAAAACAGATACATGCTTTTATAATATAATACAACAAGTTGTGTTTCATGAAGTAGAGAATTAATTAATAGTGTGTTGATATTACTTTTCTGGCCTATTATTTAAGAAGAACATATTTAAAGTAACTGGAAATTTGACCTTTTTCACTGTAAAGAATGTATTTGCACCAATGGGTCAGATAAAACTAAATATAGAGCTTTTATTATATTTAAGTCCAAAATACACATAAAAATGGTTCAAGTTTAAAGGAAAATTAAAGACCTGTGTTGTGACATTTTGATACGGTCAAGTTACACAAATACAAACATACATCATGTGTAATCAATTAACAAGCTGTCGACTAGTTAAAATCTTGTTTAACCACCTACTGTGCGCCCAAACTGTGTCAGTTCTCCTTCCCTGAATACGTGGTAGTATCTCAGACAAGAGTCCTTCAGCTGTTCGCTGCTCTGTCCACTCATCCCATCGCTTTCCAGAAGAGACGCTGTGCTTTCCTGCCTCTGCAAGGGCTCTTGTTGGCTCGATTTACCATCTACCTCCACGTGTCCTTCAAGAGTTGACTGATCCCTCTGGTAGGACACCAAGTCAGGCAATGGTACTGCAGAACAATCATGGACGAGCTCCACAGGAACAGTCTCATTTCCATTCCCAGAACTTCTGTTGTCATTTTTATGGACCTGTTCGTTGGGATCTGAGATGAAGACGTCTTCTTCTAGACTGGTTCTGGAAGAGGATGAAAAGAGGCTGGACATCTGCCTGATGAGACCTCTACTGCTAGTTCGCCGGCTTCTGCTTTCCGATGCTTCATCGACAGGGCTTTGTAAAGTGCTGGAAGAGGAGCGGGACACGGTCAGGCTGGTGAAGTCCAGCACTGAATCCAAAGATCTGGAGAAGAACCAAAGCCTCTGTTGTTTCTGCTGGCCGGGGCTGATCAAGTCTCCTGATTCGTCCAGCATGGAGGATGTGCTTCTCACTTTCTTGTGCTTGTCGCTGGAAGCGGAGTCGTCGCTGACGCTTTGGGTTCCGTTGCCTCGCTCTCTGAGGGCAGGAGATAAAGGGGGATTGGGGTTCCAGGGAATGAAGATGTCCTGCTTCTCAAACTTGCGCCTCTTCTGCTCCATGGCCCAAACGTAAATCATGATCCGCCCTCCCACACGCAGGGTGCGCGCCATCTCTTTTATTGCTCGAATACGCCGTTCTTTGGTGGACATGTGGTGGATGACTAAGCAATTGAAAGAAATTGTATTCATAGGTCATTGATATATATTCTACTGATTTCAAAGAATAGTTCTACCCATAATTACATTTGTTATTCACCCTATGCAGTACCATAAAACCCATACTTTTGCCATGTATGCAATCAATTTTATTATAAATATGCATCATTTAGTCAACTTTAAAGCTATATATTTATGGCCACCTTTTTAATAATGTATTTTTAATGTGTCATATAGTTGTTGGGTTTACAAAGTAGAGAATCATTAGTTATTATTAGTTTGTTGACTTTACCTGTTTAATTCAGCAATTATTATTATTATTAATTACCTTATATATTTTATATATATTTTAATTACCTATATATATATATATATATATATATATATATATACACACACACACACACACACACAGTGAAATTGTTATTTTAATATTTTTCATTGGCAAATCATTTATTTAAATATTTATAATTTAAAATAATATACTGAGTCAATATTGTCTCAATTCAATAATGTCCCACATCAATACTGTTGATTGTTATTCATAATAATAATAATAATTGTAAATTAAAAACTCAAATAAAAATATGCACACTAAAAACATTTGAATCAAACAAAATACAGTATTCTTAATGTTTTTCATATGCAAATAATTTATTTAAATATTACTTAATTAAAAATATTATACTGATTCAGTGAGTCAATATCCCACAACAATACTGTTGATTATTATTATTATTATTCATAATAATAACAACAACAATAATAAAACAATAGCAACAATCATTTTAAATTAGAAACTAATTTTAAAAAATTAGTTTAGAAAAATGCACACTAAAACATTTGAATATATAGAATTATTATAATATATATATATATATATA